GTTGAAACCTAGTTTTAGAGGCTATATAAATATTTAAGAAAAATATGCCTGGAGTATAAAAGTGAGATCTGGTTTTCAGTATTCCCTGGCTGTGGTATCTGTTTTCAAAGAAAATCATACCCTGAGGTGAAGCAAATAGAACAGATAGAATTAGACCTTCTCTGGTGGGCACCTGTACAGTCCCTGCCTGACACCCTCTTCATCCCCAAACTTTGAGAGGTTCTCCAAAACAGTTTTAAAACCTCTGCCTTCAGGAATGTCCTAAAGAAATACATGTTTCTGATTAAACATAAAAACTTCCTATAATTGGAAATTTCAGAATAAGTTAAATACCATGACTAAAACCAAATCAAAACAGGGCTACTTTTAAACAATGTTTATAAATTACATATGCTTCCTTTCCCCCATCCTCATATATTCCCCTCAACGAGATGTTCTTCCTTCATTTTATATGATTTTTAAAAAACATGAAAATATAAGTCTGCCATCGATTATTAATCCCATATGAAAACTCTTTTCTAATATTCTGCCTGAACCCACAAAATTATATAATATTTTTTTCAGCTCAATACAAAAAGACAAATAATCCAATTAGAAAACAGGCAAAGGAGCTGAATGGACATTTCTCCAAGAAGACATAAAACTTCCAAAAAGCACATGAAAAGGTGCTCAACATTTTTAGCTATAAGAGACATGTAAATCAACCACAATAAGACACCATTTTACACCCACCAGCATGACTCTAATCAAAAAGACATAATAAATATTGGCAAAGATATAGAGAAATTGGAACCTTCATATATTTCTGGTGGGAAAACAGAATGGTGCAGCCACTTCAGAAATAGTCTGTTAGCTCCTCAAAAGGTTATCATCTGAACCAGGAATGGCTATGTACCTATTCCTAGTACATACCCAGGTGAATTGAAAACATATATCCTACATAAAAACTTGTAGGAGAATGTTTTTAGCACGATTATTCATAATAGTCCAAAGTGCCAACAACCCAAATGTTCATCAACAGATGAATGGATAAATGAAGGATGGTATATCCATACAATGGAATATTACTCAACAATGAAAAGGAATGAAGTCCTGATGCATGCTGTGACATGGATGAATCTTGAAAACTTTATGCCAAGTGAAAGAAGCCAGGCACAAAAGACCACATACAGTATGATTCCATTTACATGAAATATCCAGAATAGGCAAATCCATAGATACATTAAGGAGATTCAAGGTAGCCAGTGGCTGACAGAGGGAGGTAGAAATGAAAGTGACTACTCAAGAGTACACAGTTCATTCCCAGGGTGTTGAAAATGTCCCAAAATTGTGATGATGGTTGTACAACTCTGTGAGTATACTAAAAACCACTGAATTATTTTTTTTACTTATGCAACATTTTTCAATGTTTTCTACAGTCTATCTCTTTTCCTGAAATTCTTTGTCAATCTCGTAAACACTACAACACCTAGCTCAATGTTTCATACACTGAGCAGACAAGCATTTTCTCTTTTGAATAAGATAAAATACTCTATCTGGAGCAAAGCAACCTTTAATAATTGTAAATCTTATTGTAGATCTAATTGTAGTTTAATCATATGCTTTAAAATTTTTCTGTCAAATAATTCAGTGATAAATTTCAAAAATCATGTCTCTATCTCACTTCTATGAGTTTCCATTTATATACACTAAAAAGTATATGTTATATAAAAATGCTTATAATATTTATTTAAAAACATGTATACATTGCATGTTATTGTATATGCAATTATATAAAAATATCTATTTACTTGTAAAAGACCTAGAAAGAAATAGCAACAATGATGGTAGGAATTCTGTAAATATGTCAGAATTCTTGGTATTTTTTTTTTAAGCTTTCAACAAAACTGTCATTTTTTTCAATTGAGAAGAAAAGAATCCCAATAAAAATAAGAACAAGCTCTTCATATGTAATTAGTCACTAAGCCAGAAGTGATTCTTTAAACTCATTCTAGGCTGAATTATAATTTTAGAAAACATCTGACCTCTTTATCCATCTAATACACGTTTTAAAATAATAGTTATATAATCAACTTTCCCCTGTCTACTCTGCAGTTTCCCAAACTTGATCCAGGGTGACCTCCTCTGGAGATGAGAGAGAAGTTCAGCTTAACCTGTACCCACATGACTCCAGGAAAGAAAACATCTTTTAAGAGTCAGTGTCTCTTTTTGTGTCTGGCTTAACACTAGCCAGTCCCCAGAGGCAACATAAGCCACATTTTATGAAACAATGGGGAAAAAGAAATTTTCATCCAAATCATTAAAAAACAGAGAGCTAATTACTTGTGTCATATCTACTTAGCCTGAACACAAAGACTTTTGAAGAAAATATCTGTTGCAAAATGAATTTTTGCTTCAGTAAAGCATTAATAGCCATTGGAGAACCCACCTCATTTATTTATAAATATAAGGTATAACCATACTTCCTCTCTTAATTGTTTATCTTAGCAATTCTTTACGGCTGACATTGACTCTATATTTTAAATATAGACCATACAGATTACAAATGAAACATGTACACAGAGGATATTACTATCATCTATAATCAGCTACTCTAAATCACCCTCACTAATATTTGACCCTATGTGCAACTCCCTGTTTGGTGACTGGGATACAAAGAGATATTAAAAGTTGTCCTTGCCTGTAGGGAAGCATATACAGTCAGAAAGACAGGACGTAAATGTAGAAGGATAACTACTGGTAACACCAGCCTTCAAAAAGTACCAAAAAAATTGTTACAATGAATTTTCCTGCACCCAGGAAAAGAGCTGGACACTGTGGGGTGTCCAGGACAGGGATGTGGGCTAAGCTGTCCTGAAGGGTAGCATTTGGGGACCAAAGAGGAAGGAAGGGGCACTCTGGACCTAAAGCTCAGCATGAGCAAGGGCACAAAAGCAGGAGGAGTAAACAGGCCAATGTAGCTGAAGACAGGTGATGAGACGGAACATTCTACAGAGTACTAAGGCCATACTGAGGTAGACCTTGAAATCCAGGCCAAAAACTGGGTATTATTTTCTAGCACTGTGAAGCCACAGGTAGGGAAACCAGTTATGATACTATATGGACAAAGATTTGAAGTAACAAGTCCCAATCCCAAATGGCAGAAGTGGGAATGGAGAAAAAGGAATTTGAGAGCCTTTATGAAAAAGAAATGAAACGATTTGGCCTTTGCCTCACATCTAGCAATTATTTAGGAAGAAACACAGAGAAAAGATAATACACTTTCAAGAACAGTCCATCGTTTAAGTACATTTGGGGAGTAAATAAGGTTGGTTTTACAGAAACAGCAAGGACATGCTTCAATAAAAGACCTGATGGGTCATCCTCATATCAGTATTCTGCCATATTTTTTCATGCAACATACAAAAATGCAAACTGACAAAACATCAAATTTAGTGAGTCCTGTATTGCCAAAAAAAAAAAAAAAGCTGCATGAGTTAATTTACATAGCAAAGTTCTCCAGTACCTTCAAACTGCAGAGCTTACAAATAAATACATAATTACCTGGGTTTTTTCTATCACAACACCAGAGTTCACACACACACACGCACACACACACAGAGGAAGATACATTTATAGATAACTGAGCATACAAGGCCCCCCTAACTTCACCAGTGGTCACATTATCAAGCTTCTTCAATTCATTTATAAAGTTTTTAGGACTGAGATTGTGTTTAAATGCACAATCTGAGCATTCCAACTAACTTATAAAAACTCTTAGACCAAAAAGAAAGTTTTGGATATATGAGGGAAAGTTGTGTTTCTGACCTCCTAATAAACATCTTTTAATCCCTATAACCAAAAGTCCAGGTACGGTTTTATGTTTGAAGCACAACGAAGCAAAGAAAATGTGCAACGAGCTAGCTGCGGTCTTACAGTAAGTACGGAAGCCTGACCCTGGAACCCACCCTCCTGCCCACCACATCAGATCGTCCAGCCGCCATTCAGGGGCGGGGGGAGGCGGTCTCCAAAGCGTCCAAGTATTTCATAAACTTCTCCAAACAAAATATATTTTACCTGCTTTGATTTCAAAATTAAGTAATTAAATATATACTATATATTACTCTGGTAAGAAGAAAGGAGAAATAGAATCATAACATGTTTAGATTATGTGTCACTCATTCAATAAAAATACAGTTAGCATCTACATGCCATGTACTGTGCCTGGCTTCAGAGGTCTGGCAGTGAGCAGTACCTGCCTATCCCTGAATTTATGGGGTAAAAGCACTTAGTGGGAAACACAAATAAAATCAAACTCTCTCCTTAACAAATGTGTAAGTGCAAACTGACCAGAGCTATGGTGGAAAAGTGTCTGATGCTTTGAAAGCATTAAAGAATGGGGATCAGTGGGGTTGACATCAGCAGACTCAAGTACAATAGAAAAGGAAAATTCCGAAATTATAAGTTATGTGTGAGTAAAATTAGAGTGCTTTAATTAATAGAACTGTACAATTCCCTACAGCAGAACTGTAATGGTAATAGAAGCTATCAAGATAAAACCTTCCTCGGGTATTTGTACTATAAAATGCAGTTAGTCAACTGAACCATTTACATTATTTCAAAGAGCTAGCCCATTGGCTTCTGTGCTTGCTGGGAGATCTCTACCCTGTATGCGTTAATTAAAATTCACCCCAAGCCAAAGTGCTCTGGGACCTCTGGGCACATTCATAGGATGGTTTTGACACTCTTAATTTCCTGAGATGAAAATGATTATTAAAAAATTCAGAAGTGAGTTGGAAGCACTCCTGCTGTTCCTCTCACTACTCCATAGAGTAAAGCATTCAATCTACAGCAGTTGCACTTCGATCATTTCTATAATCAAACACGACATCCTTGGAAGTTGCCCTCTGGTCTAGGAAATGTCAGGTCTCTGCCCACCCCCTCCCTCCCCTACAGCCCCAATCCACCACCCACCAGGAGGCAGTGCTCAGGATGTGGGTGCTCAGGGGCACAGTACTTACTTTCTTTCCTCAAGCAGAGCAATTTCCTTCTTGACCTCATGGTATTCTTCTGCTATCTGACAGTGTTGTTTGAACACCTGCATGGATTCCACGGAGTCATGACAAGGCGGCAGAGGCTTCACAAACAACAGTGAGAATAGGTTAGTTCATTTCCTTCCATCACAGTCAGTTACGAAGCGTTCTGCTCTGCTCACGTTCTTTAGAGGGAGAATTTTTGCATGAGAATAGCATTGTCAGTCAACGTGGGACAGAGTTTGACTGATCCTACATGACTAAAAATAGAGAGGTGGACTGATAGTCCCCACATTCATCGTCCAGAGTCATTCACGGGCATTCTCAGGCGCGAGCCAGAACTGAGAAACCCACCACATGTCAGTTACTTGCCATATGTTGGAGAAAAAATAGGTCTCTTAATGATGCTGCATGCCTCTCCAGAAACCTTAAAGTCTACCCTAGAGAAGGACAATGGTGGGGAAGTATTTCAGTTGTCTTTTGCATTACCCCTTGCCTTCCGATCCTGTAGCCAGAGGCATAATCTCATCTTGTACAGTGGGACGACCCTACAAGAATGGCTCTGACAGATGCATCCACTTGAAGAAAGGCCTCTGGGCTGGAAATAAATCTTGCAAGGACTAGCAAGTCCTATGAAAGACCAAGCCCAAGTAAAACCATGCTTATAACATGTGAGACCAAAGAGAACGTGGATTTGGGTCTTCACTTTTCTCCCATCCAGGAGGGAAACAAAGGCCAGCATGGCAAGCCCCTAACCACAGCATGTTGAAAATCCTATTTCTGGAAATTATTTTTGAAAGAACTAGCTTTTCCTGAGTTTATAATTCTAATTTCTCGTTAGCAACACATTACTGAAAACGTTACTTTTAGCAACACTAGTAAAGAGTCTTAAAGAGTTTTTTCAACACGCTTTTTAATTATTTACAGAAAAACTTTCTGTAATATCTGGGAAATACAACTGTATTATTAAACAGGCTTTTTAGTTGGATGTTTTCCTCACGATTGTCTATGTATGTAAGTATGTGTCTGACAAGGTCATGCTCTTGCTAATTTCATACTAGTAATTGGAGAACTAATGTATTTCTTACTACTTGCTCCTCTCATTATATTCTTCAAGGACACAGAGTTTTCAAGTGTCATATTTAGAAACCCCACCCAGTATGTAACAGAAATGCAAAAAAATTCTATTAAGTCTCAATGACAGATGAGATGATTCTTCCCATTTATCATGAGTCTCTGAGTAGAGATCTTCTGAAGGAAATAAAATTCAGAACAGATATGGGTGAAATTTACTTTCATGTGGAATATCTGTTGTGTCCCGATTCATGGAAAGTCTGATAATTATTATGTAGCCTCTTTCCCAACTGCCCCATGAACAGCATAAACTCAGCCTGTTTGAACCATGATCTCTTTCTATATAGAAATAAAGTGCAAAGCACTGCTCAGTAGTGTGACGGTATAACTCACCCCATGAGATAAAGCTGTTGCCAGAGGAATTCAGAACTCCTGGCTCCTCCAGTCTGTGTCCTAGAAATCACCACCACCTCATCAATTTTCACCTGTTACACTGGCAAATTACCAGGTATAACAGTAAGGGGAATGAAAGCAATTTACTCTGGGCACCCTAGCCAAGCTGATATTAAATCATCTGTGCCCTGTTAAAGGATTTGCATACTGGACGGCCCTAAGACTAAGCATCCTATTTCCTATCCTTAGGAACATCCCATAAACTATACTCAGTTCAGCCCAGAACTTGCAACATGGAGGTAACCATAAATTCAGCATAGCTACCTATGTGACAGCCACAAGATTCTAGGACCCCGTGTAAGGGATTTGCCTCCTGAAGAGGATACATATATATAGCCATGTAAAGGGAGAAATGTCTTTTGCTGCTATAATTAAAAGGGGAAACTGAAAATGACATATATAATTTTCTTACGAAGGAAGAAAGTCTCCTTTCTCCCTTAGTCTGTCACTCTGCAACAATCTTTATTAAGTAGGGGTTTTTTTGCATTTGTTCTTTTTTAACTGGTCCTCTTAGTTGTGGAAAATGTGAAGATACCATGCAGAGATAGTATAATCATACTGTTAAGGATATATGAGGATAGAAATATTTCAAGATATATTCAATATCCTTACACAGTAATAGCAGGAGGACCATGCTACTTACACATAATAATATTTTCAAGATTTCCCACAATTAGTAAATAGTGCCGATTAAAAGAGAACAAGGCAAAAGACCATAGTGTGCAGGTTTTCAGGGATTAAAAGGATTCCAGGTGTCACTTCAGCCTCGGGCTCCTGAAGGCTCTGTCTTCACCCCAACCTGACATGTAACTCAACACCACTTAAGTTCTCCCAATTTGCATGAAAGCATTAAAGAGCAATATGGGTTTATTTTTTAAGCAAGGGGGGAAGTTACATTGCACAACCCATCACAAACCTGTAAAATTGTCTCATTAGTTGCCAGAGGCTGGGGATTGGGGGAAATGAGGTTTTCAATGGGTACTTGGCAAGATGAAAATATTCTGGAGATTGGTTATACAACCATGTAAATAAACTTAACACTACCGAACTGTACATTTAAAAATTATTAAGATGGTAAAATTTATGTTATATGTTTTATACCATAATAAAAAAAGTAGTTCATGCAAAAAAAAAAAATGTCATTACATCTCTGCTGCCACTAGCCCATCCTGTAAGCATTGCTACGAGGGTTCCCTATCTGAGGCTCACTTGATTTGCACCCAGCTTTTCTCTCCTTGCCAAATTTTCCCCCAGGGAACTTAAAACTTTTCACCCCTTTATAATCAGAAGCCACTCACCACTAGCCTCAAAAATTGCAGGACAAATCAAAGCATCCTCTGATCGGCAGGACCCACTGTCCTTAGAAGGCATTTGACATTATTGGACATTCACCCCAGCCCAGGAAACTCAGCAAAGAATTGCAGGACAAATCAAAGCATCCTCTGATCGGCAGGACCCACTGTCCTTAGAAGGCATTTGACATTATTGGACATTCACCCCAGCCCAGGAAACTCAGCAAAGAATTTTTTTGAAGAAGAAGAGTAAAAGTTTTATTTAAAGTTGCTTAGGGAGAAAGTGCAGGCGACCTCAGAGATAGAGGACCATCCTGAAAAGGTTGGGAAAAGTTAAAGTTCCACACTCAGAAAGCACGGGCAACCTCAGAGAGAGGAGGGCACTGAAAGGTTGGGGATTTTCCCTTTTAAGGATTTTTCAGGAATATGACAAAGGGCTAGGGTGTGGGCTTGTTAAGTGGTCTCAAGTATCTTTGATGAGACATTAAGTTTCTTATCAGTCATCTAGGTAATTCTGCAAAATTTTAGCTTAACACAAGAAATTTACTGCTTTGGTCCCAGACTCCCAGGACAGCAGCTTTCTGCTTTGGGAGCATGTCAGTCAAGACTGTCTGCCCTTCCTCCAAGGTGGACAGAGTTATTTGTTTGTTGTTTGCTAAAGACTGTGTTAAGAATTTTTCATCTTAACTTCCTGGGTTTTTTCAAAATGCAATTTTGGCTTTAAGGTGGGATCTCCTTGTCTTTATTATTCAGCAAAGAATTTTTTAAACACATATCATTCTCATCCTAACAGGAATTTACATTGTATACCAAATATAAAAGGTAGAACTATAAAGTAATGAGTTGTTTTGTTCTGTGTAACAGGGAAGATTCTTGTTGCTTTATGCTCTAATGTGTGTTTGTGTGTTCATATGTATGTTATAATGTGTATGTTATAATGTGTTTGTGTGTTCATGTGTATGTTATAATGTGTGTTTGTGTGTAGCATCAAAAGGTCCTCCCCAGTGACGCTCTGTCTTACCTTCTCACAGCCCCTCAAAGTAAGAGACAATATAGGATCACCAGTGTTCCCTGAATAAAAGTGCTTGCCTAGGAAATAGATCCCTAAAATTTAGTACAAGTATCAGTTTCCAATTTAAATATGGAGCTACTGGGAGGTTTATATCATGTGACACTTAGAACACGGGCACTCATGAATTAATCACTTATACATGGGCATAAGATACTGTTTAACACATGCTCACATTAAAAACAAAAATAACTTTAAAAAATGCCTACAGGAACTAGATAAAAAAAAATTGACTTCTTGAAAAAAATTAACACTTATAATTAACACTTCAATTCTCACTGCTTAATTTTGACTATTCTTTTCCAAGAGATTTTAGTAGTTATAATCCTGTGCTAGGAATGGGGGAGAAATAAATAAACTCTTCATGTTGAGAGTGAATTTCTTTTCACATCATAAGAAAATTCCCTTGTTATTTTCTCCGTAATTATGCTACATCCTCCCACACACTCTGGATATATTTATCCTGCATTGTTGCTTAAAGAATGAAATAGTGCACTCCAAAGAAAAGGAATCCTAAATACTTGACTTGAAAATGAAAGTAGAGGTGTTCTTCTGTACTAGAGCACAAATTCCATGGAATCTCAGAAACAACAGCTTCTCAGACTCACTCAGTGCCATGGTATCTGGTCTACTCACAGCACAGCCAGTTCTTGGAAGGTTAAGACATTCTCCTCCCACTGCCTCAAGCCAACTTGGAAACATTTCCAAGATACAGATTGGGGTTTGGATGAGGTCAGAGCCCAGGAGGAAGCACTTCATCCACACCCCCTTTCCTCCATCTCCACTGCCCAAGGATTGAGCTTGCAAGGGCTGTGAATTACACAGCAGTGTGAGTGAGCCACTGCTATCTCTGGTATCCACCCCAATCATCGGGACCAATTTAACAAGATGAAGTAAGAGAGAAACCGCAGGCTCCTGTTCCAAGAATGCCAGCTTGAGACACACCATCCCATCTCCGCCCTCTGCCCAGGCCATCAGTTTATAGCAAGCGCCTCCCAACACCACCTTTGGCTTCTGGAAAGGGCCCCATGGGAAAGGACCTGACCAAGCATCTCTCCATAAGGGGCAAGGCCAGTTTAAGCATTTCCGTTTTCTGCTTGGCTTCTTCAAATACTGCTGGCCCATCCACTTCAGAAATGTAAGAATTTAATTTTCCTCTCCCAGCTTCCCACACAGAAGATATATTTAGGACGCTAAGTATTCTACAGTTGCTGAG